GATGAGGCCTTCCAGATGTTTTGGCCTACAACCTCCATGATGCCTCAGCATTGGCCCTGTAGGACTTTCTACATACATGGATCTAAGCATGGCGTAAATTGGCTTCCAACTGGTCTTTGATCCAAGCACTGAGCAGACCCAGCCCTGCTTCTTGGAAGCAAGCTTGCGGAGCGATTTATCCTCAGCCTAATCTCGTCACTTCCTTGGCATGACTTCTTCTCCCTGAGCCACTGGCCCAGTGCCTTGCAAACTTCCAACGCAAGCAGCATTCCAAAGGTATGTGGGGAGGGGGGCTCTTCTATGGGTCATCGATTTGTTTTCTGCCCCACGTGCCTTGCTGAAGACATGTTGTGATCGAATGCGACGTGACAGGTGAGCTGCTGCATTCAATCTGCCTGTTGGAAGACACGCCAGCTCCCCCTTCCTAAACCCACCTGCGCAGCAAGCAGATGTGCCCGTTAGGCTGCGCCAGGAGAAGAAGTGACCTGGCCAAAGGGGGAGGCCAACATGTCAACTCCTGCAGGGCGGCCGACGCAGAACCTCTCTCACATCAAAGCTGCCGCCGTCTCTCCTCCTCTCAGCATCTTTCTTGAGAATCCAGGTGTGCCAAACCTACCTCCGCAACATGTTGTTGCAACAGGCCTCTTGCTTTCTAGATGTACTGGGTGGAATTAGATAACATTTCCCTGCTTAAAACACTGGCTATCACAAACATCCATTCGTGACTCCCAGAGTCCCCGAACATGCATAAACAGCACAAATCAAGATAGTCTAAATGAAGGGATCTCAGTTACAAAGTTTAATGTTGGACAGCATGAATTTGTGTGTGTGTGTGTGTGTGTGTGTGCTGATGTTGCACATGTAAAAAGCTGTTTTATATGATTAATTTCATCTTGATCTTCTTAAAGACAACCGATTTTATCGAAATCATTTCCGTCAGCTACTCTTCCCAGTATTTTAATGAGAAACATATTCCTGGGGGGTACATAGAAATGGCAATATGATATATACCATTCATGCTCTCTATTACCTCTTTCCCTCAGATATACAACCTCAAATTTACTGGAATCTATGGGCATCTTCTTTCCAAATGAGCTGGAGATGTTGCTGGGAATTGAAGGACTGTGCAAGCTTTTTAGAATTTCATGTTCCTTGTGAAAGCGAATTAATACTCGTATTTGTGCAGAATCACAGCAATAAGGCTGGGGAGAATCAGAAGGTCTGGGGCTCAGCGGTCACCCAAATACATGCAGCTGGGGAGACAGTGGTCCTTTAGAATTAACATCCTTCATTCACTCCCTTTGTATCAAGTAACCCGTCTAGTCACTGTTTTGTCAGTTGTCTTCCTCTGAATTTTTTCTTTGCTAAGTGCTTTTGAAGCTTTTGGGAATGATTGTGCCTTGAATTAAAAACTCCCTGCCCCCAGGTTTTGCATAAGAGGAACATTAATAATTTTCCTTGTCATTTCCTGTTCCCCATGTTATCCAGGCTTTAACTGCTGGGTTTTTTTTTCTTTTTTTTCCTTTCCTTTTCTTTTACAATGAAATAGCACTATTTTGTTATAGAAGAATCAAATGATCAACAAAAACCAGTTCTTTCAGACAGAGAACAGATACTAAGGAACAATTAAGATCTTTTAGTGATTAGACAGCAAAATTGACTAAAGATCAGTTATGCTGACTAATTAAGGAGCAAGTCCTTGCCGCAGGAAATACTAACAAGAGCACAAGCTGCAAAAAGGAAGCTACCAATTAAAATTGCAGGGGAACTTTCCTAAACAGGAGTTGCTCTTGTGTCACATGCAGACACAGGACACGGTGCCAGAACATGCGTGAACAGTTTATAGTTTTGAGGGGAATGCAAGATCTGACAGCAAGTACAAAATGGTTAAGAAGTCTCAACAAGCTCCAGTATCAGATCAAGGTCAGGAGATGTCTGAGGAGCAAGGAGGGGAACTGTCAGTCCATGATGCTGAGGGGAACCACCAACCGGCCCAAGGAGGTAGCAGGAGAAGCTGACAGCCAGGACTGACGGAACCTCGATATCCCAATAACAGACCTGCAGGAGAAGATGGGGGCTGGATGGGGCTCACAGCAGGAATTAGGCAGCCAGTCTGACACAGAGATCCCTTGGGCAATTGCAGGCAGGGGTGGTTGTAGAGAACTCCCCCTTGCTGAAATTGTCCTTGTATAATCACAGCTGGATCCAAGCTCCAGACCACTGGGGGTGCGGGGGAGGGAGGGAAAGAAATGCAGGTGCCTGCCAAATTTCAAGCAGTCATTATGGATGGCCAGTGTGTGAAGGGGTGTTTCTCCTGCAGGCTCAGACTGCAAAAGTCCCTTCAGGGAAGGGCTGGGCGACACAGCCCATTAAACCCTCTGGGACAGAGATATTAGACATGCTTCAGCTCTTAACAGACTATCACCTGCTGCTCAAACCTTTCAGCTAGAGGAGCTACAGTCCGACGAGACTTTTATTCAGGCTACAGCGTTGTAGGGAGAGCTCCTGGACCAGACCATCAGCATCGCAAGTGCCAGCAGAGCTCGCAAGAGGTGACTCCCGCTTCCGTCACAAGCACAGCTTTCTATCTGGCCGCTTTTTGAAACACTAACGGAGCAGGATAGACAGAACCTGGTATCATGGTCCTCATGGGGTGATTTTTACTGTAACTTATCTCTGGGGATTCCAAAGTGCCAACTCTAACAGCAAAAGATCCCGTTACCCAAAGCTCAATCTTGAGAGAAATCCTTAGCCTCAGCTATACTTACAAGCTGCATCACTTTGGCTAACTTTACAGCTTCTTCAAAGGGTGGCCAAAATACTGGACCAACTTGGTAGAAGGTGGATTCTTACTACCCTGTGACATCAAGGGGGAAAGTGTGAATATCCAGGTTTTCGGGGACCCTTTGAACTGTATCTGTGATTAATCATTTAAGGCCCAGCGGGTCATTTCAACACCCACAATTCCCCCACAGAAATAAGGGGCAGAGGCCCGTTTGGTGTTTCACAGTCTCCCCAGCTGTATGCTTCAGGTGCTTCTTGATACAGAAGATTACAGAATGGCCAGAATCTGCAAGAGGGGTGCGGATCACACAAAAAGTCATCTCGTTCAGCCCTCTGAGATAAGCACCATCCACACCCTGTGGGCCCTGCCAGGACTCGCTGCAGAAAGTGTCTATTCAGGAGCAACCGTCAGACTTGGAGAGCTTCAGGCAGGTCCCTTGCACCCCTTTTGAAGCTGTTTGCCCCACATTTCATTCTTATCTTTAGTACTGGTTCCATTTGTACACTGCCCCATCAGTGGGTGGTGTACAAAACCACTACAATTAAAATGCAGAACAAGTATCATAAAAGCTTATCAGAAGAACCTTAAAAATGGAAACAGTAAAAATAGAATAGCCTGATGAGAAAACACACTTGCTCTTTGAACCCCTGGACAACCACTTAGTATATTTTAACAGCCTTGGCATAAAGGACCTTTTTAAACTGGCACTGAAGTGATGGCAAGGTTGGCCCCAGGTGGGCCATGGCAGAGAATTTATTCAGCCAGATGTTAGGAGAAACTTCCTAGAGGAGCTTGACGGCCTTACAAAGTGGTGGGCACTCCTTCCCTGGAGAGGAGCATTTCAGCAGAGGGTGGGTGGCCATCTGCCAGGGATGCCACAGCTACTCCTGCATGGAGCAAGGGCGGCACAAGATGGCCCCTAAGGCCTGCCAGCCCTTTGAGCCCACGATTCCGTGGCATCCTGGACCAGCGGCAGCCTTCGACGGTCCAGCCCGGAGAAGCGACATCGGCCATCCCAAAAACAAAATGGGCTGCGAAGGCCACGACGGCCACGCACGCTTCTTCTACTGCACACCAGATGATCAGTCCCCAGAAGACTTCAGACCCCAAGCCTGGAACCAGAGCAGAACCTCAACGCAAGTGAGAGCAGACTAGAAGGTCCAAGGAGAGAGGACTTGCTGCTTGATCGCGAAGGTCCTGAAAGGAGGTCCGAAGCAGGATCGGCCAACAACCTGCTTCCCAAGCAGGCTGACCGGGTGCCTCTGGGGTGCCCAAGTCAGAGCCGGAAAGTGACCCCGCCTGTCCCCTTGCAGCATTCCCCGAGCCACACTCCGCGGCATGCTTCCGGCCTCGGCACGCGGCGGGACAGGGCTCCCGGCCACGGAGCGCTCAGCACTCCTGCGAAGGCGCCCCGGTCTCTGGCGGCACTCCAGCGGCGCAGAGTGCCGCCGCGAGCGCGCCGGGGCAGAAGCGCCGCCCGCGGCCGCCGCGGTGAGGCGCTTCCCCGGCCGCCTCCGGGGCTCTGCGCCCGAGAGGGAGGCTCCGCGGGAGAGCGGCGGCCCCGCCAGCGGCGCGCCGAGGCGCCCGCCGCGGCGACCGCCAAAGCGCGCCGCGCTTCCGAGCGGCTCGCCAGAGCCCCGAGCAGACGGCCGTGGCGGCCGGGCGCGGGCTCGCCGGGGCCGCCCTTGGCCGGGCACTCACCGACGCGCCCGGGACGCTGTGCGCCCCAGCCGGCCCGGCGCGCCCCGCGCAAGGCGGGCGGAGGGGAAGCCGCTGGCTCGGCACCCCCTCCCCTCCCCAGCCAGTCTCCTCCCCGCGCCCCCTCCTCTCCTCTCCTCTCGCCGCGCCTGCCTGCCTGCCTGCCTTTGCAGCATCCCCAGCCGTCCCGGCGGGCGGGCGGGCGGGCGAGCGCGCCTCCCTTCCCCTGCCCGGCAGCCGCGGCTCCCCAGCGCGCCAGACGGACAGGCGGACGGACGGACGGAGAGAGCGGCCAAGCAGGGAGGGAGGGAGCGAGCGAGGGAGCGAGAGGCGGGCGGGCGGGCGGGCGGGCGGCGCCCCCATCCTCCGGCTCCCCTCCCACCCTCCTCCCCTCCTCCCGCCGGCCTCGCTGCTCGCCTCGGCTCTCCATGGCCGCCTAGAGCCGCCGAGAGCGCCGCGCCATGGGGCCGCCGCCGGGCCCGGGCGCACTCCGGCTGCTGCGGCTGCTGCCGCCGCCGCTCGTGCTGCTGCTGCTGCGGCTGCTGGGGCCGGCCGCCGCCGTGGAAGGTGAGTGCGCGCGGGCGCCCGAGCGCGGCTCCGTCCCTTCGAGGCGGCGCGGGCGGAGGCGGAGGATGCTGAGGCGGGAGGGCGTCCTCCTTGACCAGCACTCGGGCCGGGCCGGGCCCGCGTCCGGGGTGGGGGCGAGCCGCGGCTCCGGGGAGCCGGCGCGTTGGGCGCCCCTCCTCGCCGCGCCCGCCGGCAGCCCCAGCGGCGCGGCAGGGCAGGAAGGCCGCC